CGTTCCCATGGCGGGGTATATGTACCTTATATAACCATTAAGGTATTTGGCCTTCTACCATATCCTTACTCCAATTACTTCTAGTTGTAAATTGAAAAAAAAATGCGTATATTTGTATTTTTTCTCTAATTTCCTCACGTGTTCATTTTTTACTTCCTTAAGCGCCCCGCCATGAACTCATCCCTTAACCTAACCTAACCTAACCAACGCAAACCAACATAACGTAACCTAACCAACGCAAACTAAATTAAAATAACCCAACCTAACCTTACCACATCCAAACAGACCTAACCACATCACACCACACCTAACGTAACGTAACCCAACGTAACGTAACGTAACTTAAAATAACCTAACCCAGCTTAACCTAACCTAACCTAACCAACAAATTTATAAATTGAAGATAATTGCATATGTAGAAAATAAACGAGTTTAATGTCTTTATCTTCATACATCCTGGGTCTTTGTACTACAGCTGAATTAAATACATAACATATACAACACCCAAATACATCGCATATACAACACCCAAATACAACACATATATACAGCCAAATACATCAAATGCACAGCAAAATACACACGCCGAAATATTTGTCACTGAAATTTTTACTCGTGCATGATTCAACTCCTGTTTACTAAATTAAAAGAAATGTGACTAACGCTTGGGAGTTATGACCCACGACCAGTCATCAAACAAGTTTATTTTAGCCTCGTGTCTCTGTTTGCACCATCCTTTAGCATGATAGACTGCAAGGATGTGGCAGGACAGTGGGGGCAGGATACAGTCGTCAGCGATAATAAGACGTGTCATGATTAAATACAATAGTAAGGAATACAGTGGACAAATACGATACAGAAGGTATATAACAATCGCCCTTTCAGTAATGTTTAACGATACAGTGCAAATCATAATGAAAGACTACAGGTGTCATTGTGTAGGACAAACACCGTAATGAATACAAATAACGAAAATTTAGAGGTATAGTTTAAGCATGGGTTCTAGCAGACACCAACAGCAAAATTTCAACTCGCACTGTCATCCACCCGAGTTGACAGCTGTCCAGAAGAAATAAAGTGTAAAACAGTGACAGTCAATCAGGTAGAGTGGTGGAGTGAATACAGCGGAAGGCCAATAGGTGGGAGGTGAGGGGACTGCCATGTTCACCTCTTTCCCTCCGTTTCTGCCAGTACCATCACGCTTTCCTGCACTGTTACCAAAATGTCTGTCTTATTCTAGCTCTATAACTCAGTGTTACCAACATATCTTTCTTTCAGCGCCATAACACAAACAGTACTACCAACGTCTCTTTTCTTTCAGCGCCATAACACAAACAGTACTACCAACGTCTCTTTTCTTTCAGCGCCATAACACAAACAGTACTACTCACACCTCGCGCACACCAACTAGGGAGAGTGCCACTAGTACAAGACCTGACGCCTCGGCCATAACTTACCACCTTGTTACAACTGGACTAAACAGGGTGATAGTGCCTCTATCACCTTAGTCATTAATCACCGTGATATTTGTACACTCGTGCGAGTTATGGTATTTCATTTAAATTTTGCTAAAACAAAACTTACCATAGCGTTTCAGTTTAAGGTATTAAAGTTCTCGGTATATTAAACACCCTTCATATAAAACTGACATCACTGAGTTACGAAAACAAGTGAAGATTATGCACCCTAGCTTATTTCATGGGAGAGGGGGGAGGGGTGGTAGGTTAACTTAGATTAGGTTACGTTAGAACAGAGTTAAAGTGTTTATTCATCAGGTGATGTAAGAGGGTGTCTAGTCTTCACGTGATCCAAATTACGTATTTTATTTTAGCTATTAACAAAATCTTGTCTAAATTAGAAACAGGGTCTCCGGGAGGCGGCCGTGACGGCGCTGCCACTGGTGACCGTGTATTCCTGACAGGTAGTATCACAGGCGTCGGCAGGCGGTTTCCTAGAGCGTTCTTCTTCCCAGGCGTGTCCTGACCTCTGCAACCGAGACATGACCACATCCCTCACACCCGCACCCCGTCACACCACACCTGCTGCTTCCTCCTACCCCAGGACACGCCGCCGGCAGGGTAGGGTACTAGAACAGTGCACTCACGACCCACTCTCTCACTTTCTCACACAATCGCTCTCCCTCTCTCTCTCTTACTCACATATATACAGGTACACATACCATACTACGTTACATATATATGCATACAGATACTTGAACTCTGGAAAACACACACACACACACACACGCGCGCAGTCCCAGCATAAGGTCAGAGGACGTGACCTACAATCAACCGTACAAATGATAGACGGAGGGTGGATACCATGATGCTCCTGCCGCTGCCCCTACACTGGCCACCCATCACTGGCCACCTAACACTGGCCACCCATCACTGGCCACCTAACACTGTCCACTCAACACTGGCCACCCAACACTGGCCACCCATCACTGGCCACTCATCACTGGCCACCCATCACTGGCCACTCATCACTGGCCACACCTATCCTGGTCATATAAAACAAAGGTAAGACCAAATAACTACACACACACTCGGTCCAAAAAGTATTTTCATGATTTGGTGTTAGACAAAATGACTCCACGGAAGACATTTTTTTCAGCCCTTCGAGACAACAGGAGTCGTAGATATTTAACATTTAACATCTCACTATCATAACCTAACCTAACCAAACCTAACCTAACCTCTCCTCTAAATCTGTACAGCTCCTACAGGTTGGTAATCTTCGCCGACCCCAGGAGCCAATGTCTAGATTCTCAAAAATTCTTAACGTGTTAATTTTTGTCCCTGAATGAACGGCTCAATTCAATTACAAATGTCTCCTTAACTGGCTATAGGTAAACGCATCTATATCAAGTTAGTCTCACTGTATTCTGATAATATTTTCGACATATTTTGTGTTTCAACTTCAGGCAGACAGTTAGATGCATTCTTACATCTCTTAGCCACGAGGAAAATCAAACGTCTCCAGGTTACGTCTTAAAGAGCAACACAGTCGAAGGGCAATGGTTTATCTGCGGTGGCAAATTTTATGCAGTCGTAATAGAGGATGACAGGTTTGGAGATGTGGGAGGTAGGACGTGTAGCAGGGATGGCAGGGGTGTCACTTTGGCAGAGTAGGACTCATGGCAAGTGATGACATGTGGCAGAGGAGGGACGGAGGGGCAGGAGGACGTGAGATAAGGGAGGGATTTTTTTTTTAGAGAGAAAAACAGGGATGAAAGAAGGCTAGAGGGGGGAGGAACTGGGTTAATGGTTAGGAAATTGAAGAAATTTAGGAGGCAGGAGGCAGGCTGACCGCCTCGCTCCGGGTTAGCTAAGCTAATTGTGTGTTAAAATTGTCTTGGGCTAGTTAATTCTAAGCGATTTTCTTAAGAGTTGGTTTACTGGTTGGCTGACCACTCTGTCGGCACTGGCACTGGACAGCCTACCCTACCCCATTTGTGGGTGTTTTGAGGGTCATATTTCGTATTCCGCTGACCCTATTAGCGGATGTTGGTCCAGGGAGGTTGTCTATTGGATGGGAGACGGACCGACGTGTGTTAGGGGATGGATGGAGGCTGAAGGACGTGTAGCAGGAGAGAGATGGTGTGGGAAGACGTGTGGGAAGAGGAAGTGTGGCTGGGGAGGAGGAGGTGTGGCTGGGGAAGAGGAAGTGTGGCTGGGGAGGTGTGCAACCGGGGGGGTGGCACAGTATAAGCAGGTGGCGTCACATATTGATATTTGATAAGAGCGCCGCGCCGCCCCACCCGCAGGTATTGACACCGCCACTTGAAGGAGACTGATTCATCGCTCCCGGGTAATGGCTGGTAAATTCTGTGAAATCGCGCTGCTGGTTTACTGACCAAAACCTTTTAAAGCAAAGGTGAAAAAAAAAACCGCGGCCAATGGGGTGAGTTGTGGTCGATGGGGTTGTTTACTGCGGGAATATTGACCAACAGGACAATATATATATATATAAGATTAGCTCCAGCTATTTCAGCAATTTTCACCTGATGATTAAACACTATCTGAGGGCGTTAAGTTACGTTATCCAAGATTAGATTCTGGTATAATAGGTTAGATTAGGTTGGGTTAGCTTCCGGGTGTCTCATCAGATCAAACAGCCGGAAGTGAAAATTGACTTATCATCCCCAAAAATTATATTACAACATTTCTCCCAGGACGTCAGCAGTGTTATTCCTGGTGTCAAGGTGTTGTTCGTGACCAGTCAGCAGTGTTCTTCCCGACTTCAGAGCGTTCCTCATGACCAGCAATAACCCTAACTGACGTCAGCAAAGTTCTTCATTGACGTAGGGAATGTTCATCATGACGTCAACAATAATCCTCTTCAGGTCGGTGCAGACTGCATAATCCTACGGGATGGCGGCCGGCCCTTTTTAGCGGAGGGGATTGTATAACCCACTGTTGGATACTGACAAACAACAATCTTTTTTCTCGTTTATCAAAGCACCACGAGGAACAGTGAGGTCACGCAGAACAGGAAGCCAGCTGACGTATGGCATGGCATGTGAGTTAGAACACACCACACGGCTCTACTTCTATTACGCGGACTGCTCCACAGAACAAACTCTAATAATTATAATAAAACTCATAATTAAAACTATTAATAACTATTTCAGGTCGCCCCGTATATGATGAGAGAGTAAAAGTTGGTCCAATCAGCCTGACGGCCACCCAGGGGCAGTGCGGATACAGCACACTGAACACTAAACCTCTGATATACAAGGAGGCAGTGTAGCTAGCACTACACCTTCCCCAAATGTACAGTACAATTAGGTATCCATTCACAGGTGAATGGAGTAGGTGTGCCCCGGGAGCAAACCAATAGTCCTTAAGGCAGGAGGTGAGTGTTGTATCCGTCGTACCTCTGTATGGCAATGGTATATACGTATGTTGTTTGTAAGATTTATTTAACCATGTAAAGTTGGTGTTGTTTTTCTTAGACATGAACATCAGCATAAAGAAGACGAGGAAGACACTTACCTCCTGGGTCCGACTGGAAGGCTGGACCCTGAGGGACCGGATGAACCTCTTGTCGTGGTAGTCGTCCATGGTGGCGGCGACACGCGAGGGGCAGCGCTCGTCGCTCTCACTACCACACCTCTCACTCTAACACTCTTGATTGCTCACCCACGCCATGCTTCACGGAACACAGACCAAAGCGACAATACCTCTCGCGGGAGGTAGAGAGCGCTATTTGATATTGCAATCACGACGAGGGCACTGTGGAGGCCTCAACACCCTCGCTTTGTTTCAAGTCTTGTAGTTGAGGTGTGAGTGTATAGACTTAAGACTCAGCCTCGGAACACACGAGTTGATGAATCACTGTTTAATGCTTCTCGTCTACACTGGCGGCGTTCAGGTTAAGCTTGAGTGGCTATTCCCGCCATAGTTACCTGGTGACCTCTTCCCGGTTGGGGCAGGGCCAGCAGGACCCGGGTCTGACCCTCCACGGGCTGCCTAACACGGCCATCCTTGCCCCGCCACCGTCAACATGCCACAATACCTAAGGTGGAGGTTCAGTGACAAGTTCCTTGACAGTCCTCTAAGTTCGTCAACACAAACTTCCAATCAACTTGCAACAACTAATGTCACGACGAATATCTGATATTAAACAATAACACCGACAGGTCACCAAAGCATTACCGGGCTGCTGTACGTAGGTTCTTGTTGGCAATTATTTTTGTGGCAATAATTTGTGACACTACCACTCGTTTCCGCTTATAGGGAGACGTACAGCGCAGGAGCCACGTGATCCGTGTCCAGGCGACTCCAGATGAAACTCTTAACACCACAGTAAGTGTAACCAGGTGACGCTAGGTGTAGTCAGGCGACGGTAGGTGAAGTCAGGCAACGTTTTCCATGTGACTTGGTAACGCTGGCCTGGTGGACTCACTCTCACGCCCGTCCTGCAAAGAAGATAAAATAACATGTAGTCACACAATCAGTTTACTCTTGGATTCTGATACACTACAAAAAAAATTCCCCCAAAGAGAAATACTGCGAAAATAAAACACAAGTCTTTGAAACACGAGGGATTACCAGAGCGAGAAAAATTTATCAAAATAAAGCTTCAGTCTTACAATTACAAAAATAAAATATTGTGGTGTTATTATTTCTGTAACAGAAGATTACGGTCTCCTGTTGGGTGTGCAGTTGTTGCCGGTGATGTTTGTGCTGGGAGAGAATACAAGGATGTACACTGTCGGGAGGAGGAGCAGCGGCTGGGCAACTCGTCACAGATGTGGATGATCAACCAAGTTTAGAATATACAGAGGGTCGGGTCCGCCAGCAGGGACACCTCAGTGACTTACGGATACATAGATGTCTCAAGTACACACGGCTAGGTCAGGAAACACATGGGTAACTCGGGTAACACTCGGGTAACATTTAACTCTCATGCAATTACAGTATATCAAATACCCAACACAGATGAATGTCAGTCGGTCATACAGTAACGGCAAGTCTTTTGAAGGTGACCGTACACAACATGCTTACAGCCATGTACGTGAAGGGGAGGGAAAGGGGCAGAGGGAAGGGGAGGGAGATCAATACGTTCAGCTCCACCTACCTGTGTTTCGTGTTAACAGTTATCAGTAAACATAACGAGAGAGAGAGAGAGAGAGAGAACACAGGTAGGTAGAAAATAATAGAGATGACGATGATGACGACATCTAATGACGATGACGACAACAACAATAATGACGCTGATGACAATGACGACAATGACAACGACAACAGTAATGACTACGGCGATGGCAACAACAATGACGAGAACGACGACAAAAATAGGTGACAAGGCTAATAATACGAATGACGATGACGATAACAACAATGGTAATAACGCCAACAATGAAGACAATAACAACAACACCACGACAACTATTCGAGAAAAAAATCACCATCTTTTACAGATAACTTAAAGGCATAATAAAAACTCTCATATCTAGAATCTATTATATCATTCAACAGTGAGATAACTCTTCTCTTCCTCCCTAAATTTGACGTTGGCCCACAAAGAAGTCCTTACAAGGCATTTTCTCTACAGATAAATTACCTTTTTTGACAACAGATCAGCCGTTAAGGGAATGACTTTTATACTACAATATTTCAACCAGTAAAGGGATACAAAACAACATGCTACTGTTTCCCTGACTTCTGATATCATAATGGCGTATTTGTACATTTCATCCATTCACAAATATAAGGAAAAACCTCAAGATATACAATCAAATTTAACCATCAAGAATCATAACTACACTCAAAGGTTCACAGGCACGTTACAATGTCAGCACCACGAGACACAAGTGCCAATCCATCTCTTATCGTTCCTAACCTGCTTTAGTAATTAGTGTCGAGGTGAGACAGGGCCAACGTGTGTGTGTGTGTGTGTGTTGGTAGCGGCGTGATAGCAACAGGTGGTCGGTCAATCACACACACCCAATCCTTGCCTGACTTGTCACGTCCAGCACGCCAGATTAACTCGCACCCGTATTGCTCTCTTAACTTACATATTTTCCCGACCAATGTTTACATTTCGGAGCATCACAGGTTCATTAGCATTGGTAATAAGGTGATTCACGTTAATATACTGTGTTAAGTGAGATGAGGTGACTGGAACAGGAATCGTTGGTTGGTTGGTTGGTAATGAGGTGAACTCTGGTAGTGGCCAGGACTGAGGTCGTCTCCTTTCATCGTCGGCTTGTCCACAGAGTCATTTGTAACTATATTGTTTAGACTGCAGTACGGAGAGAAGGAAGATTGGAGAGGAGAGAAGGAAGGGTGGGGAGTAGAGAAGGAAGGGTGGAGAATGTTGATAATAATTCTCTATCGAGAATTAGGCAATGCATATATATGATACGGTTAGCTCTCTCTCTCTCTCTCTCTCTCTCTCTCTCTCTCTCTCCATTACGTAGCGGCAGTATCAAAGTGTAACAGTTGCGGTGTGAGAAAGGTCACATTGAATATGTACCTAATTACATATTCACCATTACTATCTTACATAACAGCCTCGTCAAGGAGTGTGGTGGAGATTCAGTAACATAAGAGTCGTGACCCACCAGGGGGAGCGTAAACTCCCCAGGATAATTTAGCAAGAGGTTACTGAAGGTGAGAACCACACTCCCGTCCCCTACATGTGAGAAGGACCAACTCTCAGAGCAGTACAATCTCGGCACATTACTGATACTTATACACCATTTAGGGCGAAGTTCCTTTAAAAATTGGCGGACTAGTTGACTTGCTAAGATTACGATTACAGACAAACACACACACACACACACACACACACACACACACACACACACACACACACACACACACACACACACACACACACACACACACACACACACACACACACACACACACACACACACACACACACACACACACACACACACACACACACACACACACACACACACACACACACACACACACACACACACACACACACACACACACACACACACACACACACACACACACACACACACACACACACACACACACACACACACACACACACACACACACACACACACACACACACACACACACACACACACACACACACACACACACACACACACACACACACACACACACACACACACACACACACACACACACACACACACACACACACACACACACACACACACACACACACACACACACACACACACACACACACACACACACACACACACACACACACACACACACACACACACACACACACACACACACACACACACACACACACACACACACACACACACACCACACACACACACACACACACACGCACACAAAAAATAATTATCAATCGGTTTTAAAGTTTACCTCAAGTGCGGGAGTCATAAACTGCTCCCACACTTTCATCACTCATTAATGAACATAATTCCTTCCAGTGAACTACTTGGCGTTCTAAGTAGCACTAACAAGACCAACTGTACAAAGCAGATTCTGGTATCAGTGACCTTGACTTTTGACCTAACTTACCAATAACGGTTTGGCTTAATCCTCTGACCCCTGACACATCCAATTAATGTATTTCGTTGAGACTCGTCCCCATCTGCCAAAGTTGTGATGAGTGAATTTATCCGTATAACTCAGACACACCGACAAACACAATGATCGATTAAAACGTGATTTGGTGGTTCTCTCTTCCTTGGCTTCCCTTTGGTACACTGCAAGTCATTTGAACCAAGGACAACCCAAGAAAGTCATTATTAACTTTTTCAATGAAAGTTGAGTAACACTGGGTGCTACTGTGTCTGCGAGAAGGAAAAAAGGGGATAAATGTATATATTTTCTTACGAGACCAAACTTATGGGACACTTCGTATATGTAATTCTTCAACAAGACAAATCCTTTTCATCTGTAGGTTTGCGAAATTTCCGATATATATCTCTGTTATGTAAGTTTGTATCATTTACGTTATAACAATTAAACGTTTACAACTATCATCAACAAATGCCGGGACGGTCCCGATTTAGATATTGTTTTTACGAGTTCAAGAATAAGATTAATTAAGGCTGGATCAAATATGACTCATCCTGACTCAACGATTGTGTTGTTTAATATAAACTCCTCGCCTTGGCTGTTATCAAGCGCCAGTTGTAAATAGGTGGGCAGCTAATTATCATTTTTACCGGCACTCATATTATGTAGTGTGTTGTTACACCAACTGTATTAATATACCATGAGGTAAAGTTAGTGTATTACATTACACGTTGTCTGGAATCTAGGCAAGGATTATATGTTTGTTTTCCAGGTCGGTTCCGGTATTGTTGTGAGCCATACACTATAACCTACATTTGAGTGCCACCCTAGCAACGAATATGACCCCTCCACCACAGGTGACAGGGTGTGGGTACCTCCCAGGATAACTTAATTAACAAGAAGATCGGTATGGTAGAAGCTGAGTATTAAGGAGAAATAACTGAAACAATTATCAAATATACCATCATCAACTAAGACAGTATATATTACTTAGAATATATCAAACAGTCGAACTTGGGGAACTATTATTACACAACAGAAGGCCCCCTCCCTCCCTCCCTCCCCCAACCTCAATCTGTGGAGTAACAAAGTTCAACGTTATCTATTAATTGATATATACAATCAGCTACAAAATTAGGAAACAAAACCAGACACATAGTAATGAAAATACAGTTACGAGAACTATCGAGGGAGGGCTACTTATGAGGTGAGAGAAGCGTTCCTGGAGGTGAGCGGGCTTCCTAGTAGGTGAAGAGGACGTCCTAGTACGTGACTAATACTTCCTAGTAGGTGAGGGGACATCATAGTAGGTGAAGGGATATCAT